CAGTTTGGTTCTGAAAGGTTCTGACTTATCCTTGATGGTTCTGGAGATCTGGTTCCCCTGGGGCCTGCATCTCCACTGTGTTGGAGATCCAGCTGAGGTGGACCCCAGCTTTGAGCGCAGGGCAGAAGAGGCAAAAGAGAGAGAATTCTGTGTGCTCTGTGGTTTTGTCTGTCCTCACACGGGGGGGCAGACCTCTGTGACTTGCCTGTGGAGGCCTTGGCTGGAAGGGGGGTTATTGCAGAGATTCCACAGCTGATTCCACATCATCAGTGGTTCCCAATGTCCAAAAAGTATGATCATGGCATATGGCATAACATCTCTATTGCTCCTCTCTACCAAATTCAATATGGTGGAGATGTGGACGTTCAGGCCAGCACCCAAAGAGGCGTCTAACACATTTCTGTCTCTCTGATGTAGGATTTAATCCAGAGGTATGAATTTGGCTTCATGTCGCCACATTGCAGTGATGCCTGTGGCCTTCAGGGGGAGCTAAACCAGGGGGTTTTAGTCTTGCTTTAACATTTTACTAATATTTCTTTGGCTTTATTGATGATTACAATAATGAAGGAACAATCTCTCATGTCCTTCACAGACCTGGAACCCGCTTGCAAAACCAGAGCCGTGACCCCTGAGGATCAGCAGCCTCTCCAGGTCAGTGAACTCATCAGTTCAAACAAGGAAGACAAAGTGAAGCTTTTAGCCTCAACTCTGGCAAAAAAAATCGGTTGACGTCGCCCATGTTAGCAAGGTTTCCAGCAGCCGCAGTGACGACATCTGCATCTTGATGTTTCCCGTGTCTCTACCTGTGCTTGTTTCTACACATCCGACTCTTAGATTCTTAAGGCCAATTTATGCTTCTGACGCATAGCCTCTGCTACCATCATACCTGTCTCTGGTTGCAAACCAGTTTTGCTGGTATGCTTCTGCACCATCAGTCACAGCAGTTTCCCACCAAAGCGATAGGGGGAGCCTTTTCGAGAACTCGCGAGAACTTCGGCAGATGCGCCGGCGTGAGTGTTTATCTTCAAAAATTAACAATGGTGCGTCTGCAAGAAATCACGGTCACACAGATGGAACTAGAGTTGCTAGACATTGTTGAGGATATATTTATATAATTTGTCTGAGGCATCGTAGAAGTGGTTGTACTTCCAATCCTCCTCGATTAACCTTTCATCGTAGTTTTTAAAAACTACGCGCACCCCGGAACCGAATCGAGACGGACGACCACACAGACAGCCGAAAAGGCATACCAAGGACCAATCACAGCTGCTTTTCGTCTGTGCACTTCCGCTTGAGCTCTGTTGCGGGTTTGTGACCGTCCGACGCGTAGTCAGATATGACGGTTGCAGGTATGGAGGGCCAACTCTGCCATATTCAAAAATAAATACAGAAATAAATAAATGCTCAATGAATAAATAAGCATACAATTAATTGCCACCAAAAATACAATCGACAAATTAATGTAAGTAAAAAAAATTAATTATACAGTCAGACATAAATGTATATAACTCTTTTAATTAGCTTCTTTATTTGTCTTTGTAATAT